TACACGCGCTCTTTTCAAAGAAATACCCACAAACTATGTATTAGTAGAAAGGTTATGAAACGTAGAATTTGTTTAAATTACGCTACATTTTGGTCTTTAATTTCCTAAGGCGGCGGAAGCGCGTAAATGCCAAAATGACAGAGTGAAGCGTTGCGTCAAACTATTGGGGAATGAAATACTATCGTTGATGCAAAATAACTGTGCAGTGTTAATGACAAAGCATCAATCGCTCAAATGGTGTAAGCATTTTCTTGTATTTATTTTGGTTATATTTTTATAGATCTGTCAAGTTCTAGTACCAAAACATTCCCAAAAGGTGTTGCGTTAGGGGCCGCTTTTGTTCCGCTTCTGTTCAAAGTTTCCGGGAATTCATCTATCTTACATACCCCTTTAATTCATTTAAAGAGGAGGGATTCTTTTAAAAAGCGAGTGCGAGTTTTCACCCCCTAAAGATTTAAACATATCACGCCTTCTCAGAGAGAAATGCCACCACGAAAAGCCGCCAGCCAATGAAATAACAGAACCCCTAGTGTTAGCGTTAGCAGACAGCGGCGGACGTATTTTTATTCCATCGTTGAACGCTCGGCTAGAATCACGTCATTGCTTGCTTTCCGAGAAAATGAACTTTAAAGTGAGCTCAATATTGTAGTACCATAGGCATACCGGAATTTTGTTTGTTAATTTCAAGTTCTTGTAAGAGGCTATGCATTTAAAAAATATATATATCAATATACAAAAGCATTTTCCCTAATATTGCCTTGGTAAGAATTTTAATCCGGCTACGACCATAAAATGAAAGCATTATGGCGAAATGATGCAATGTCACTAACAGTATACAGGTTTGCGTCATTGGCTGTAGTCGGTAACCATGGCCATGCACGAGACAGAGCTTAGTTGTCGTCTATTGGTGGAAGCATTGACCACTGTCTGAAATAACAGGCATATGCTAATTTGACTCGCGAGTTGAAAACATCTCTCTTTCTCGGAAACTGAAAGTTCATTACCATCAAGTAATTTCTTAACAGCTTTGGACGACCTGGTTTGCCCGTTGTAGCAACGCATCGATGGAATCTTATGGCAAAATATTTGCTCAAAGAAGTCAAACATTTGGGTAAAAATGAAAGCGTTTATAGCGAAATCGAAAAAGGCAGAAAACAATTGCAATATCATTAACAGTTTAGAGTTTTCAATTATTGTCTGTAGTCGGTAACCATGGCCATGCATAAGAGCTTAGTCGTGTTCTATTGGTGGAAGCATTGACCCTGTCTAAAATGAGGTAGGCATATGCTAATTTGACAAACGAGCTGAAATCACCTGTCGTCTTTGTCGAAAACTGAACGTATCCTTCTCAGAAACTGAAAGAGTCGTTCTCGAAACTTGAAAGTGCTTTATCATCAAGTAGTTTCTTAATATTTTAACACGTTTTACTAGAAACGAACCGAACGGATCTAACACATCTGATACACTTCGAAATGGACTCAGTGGTCCAGGCTGCAGCAATGTAAGTCATGTAAGTCTTAACTCGTACTTTAGCTCGGATATTATTTTTGAAACCACATCTTTCGGAAAAGGTGCTTTGACAGCACATTACTTCGAAAAGTCTCAGTCAGCAACAAACATGGCAGCTGCCGCCGCAGCAGCTTCTGCTGATTCCTCTGGTTCATCTGTGTGTGATGTATCGGAAGAAAAGACGAATGGCACAAGACTGGCACGACTAGTGGTTGATCTAGGAACACATGTTCTTAGAAAGGTTTTACATTCTGTTCATCCACCCGCGACATTACAGCACGTATTAAACAACCATTTTCCAACGCTTCAAAGTCTGAAATCCAGGCGGGTAATATTCGATGACCAGTGGGAAAAGTTATTTCCGTCTTCGGGTGCTCCACCAGACTCGAAAGCGTTCGACATAACGCTG